ACCGGGTGGAGGAGGACTCCCAGGATGATGGTGAGATGCCAGCTGCCCCGAGCACCGGCTTTTCAGTTTGGGTCTCAGCGGGTAATTGGGTTGGAGGGTGCTCCGGAGGTGCACATCAATGACCGGTCCCACCTCCTCCCCGCCTGCAGAAATCGAGATGCTGGTGGATGACCCCCGGGAGCTGGAGCAGGCTGGCGAGATGGAGGTGAGCCCCGACATGTGCGTCTACATCACGGAGGACATGCTGCTGTCACGCAAGTTCAACGGGCACTCGGGTAAGGCGGCCACTGCTTTTAGTTCCAATTTCCCAATGCCTGCCGCACCTTTGGTGTTCGGCAGCGCTCTATTATTCCGAGGTGTCCATTTGGGACACTGGGAAAAGCTGTTCGCCCAGTGGGTTGAAGGAGAATTGGGGTAAATTTGGTGGAGCTGTAAAAAGGAGGAGTTGCTGGGGAAGGGTGCACTTTTTACTCGGAGTGGGACTGATGCAGCCACCCTGCGGCCTGGGGGGGGTGTACCCAGGCACACTGGGTTATTTGGAGGTATTGGGGGACCAATAGATGTAATTTTGGTGATGTTCTCAATTGCTGGCCCCCACTCTCGTTTTCATGACAACCCCTCGCTTGTTCCCATGAGCACGGGTGCTGTTATCACACGTGTCAGCCTGGCTTCTCCAGAGCTGTGCCTGCACCCGAGAGTCGCCCGCATTTCCAGCTCTGTGCTGGGTGCTACTGGGAGGTCTGCGGAGTGCCAGGCTTCCTGGGGATGGCTTTGGATGCTGTTTTGGTGCAAATTTGGGATGCTTTGTAAGTAAACATTCAAGACCAGGTTGGGTGGGGCTCTGAGCAACCTGATCTAGTTAGCGGTGTCCCTGCTCCCTGCAGGGGGGTTGGGCTGGGTGACCTCTAGGGGTCCCTTCCTACCCAAAACATTCTATGATTCTATGATTCTATAAAGGTGTTTGCAAGCGGAGCCATCGGGGCCCTGTTGAGCTGAGGGTGCCTTTGCCACAAAGCAAGGGCAAGCCCACAGGGAGCCCCCAAACCCTGAGAAGCCTTGAAATAACCTACGCGCCCTCCTCTTCCTCTCTCCTCATGCAGGGCTAATCGTGAAAGAGATCAGCTCCTCCACCTCCAGCTCCTCGGAGACAGTGGTGAAGCTGCGGGGGCAGAGCACCGACTCCTTACCCCAGGTACGTGGTGCCGGTGGAGATGTGGTGGAACCCCAAGCCCTGCTGGCAACCAGGGATTTGGGTTTCCCTGACCCCCTTGGCTCCTTGGCCGGTCCTGAGGCTCCCTTCTTTGCTTTGCCCAGACGACGTGCAGGAAACCGAAGACGTCAACGGACCGGCACAGCCTGAGCCTGGATGACATTCGGCTCTACCAGAAGGACTTCTTGCAGCTGGCCAACCTCTGCCAGGATACGGCCCAGAGCTACACCTTCGGCTGCGGCCACGGGCTGGAGGAGGAAGGGCTCTACTGCAATGGCTGCTTGGCCCAGCAGTGCATGAACATCCAGGAGACCTTCCCCGTCAAAAGAACCAGCAAATACTTCTCGTTGGATCTCACCCACGACGAAGTCCCCGAGTTCGTCGTCTGAGCGCCGTGGGGGGCAGGAATGACTGCCCGCCCCCGGGGGG